GTTCAGGCTGAATCCTTCGGTAATGCGCTGCGTGAAATAATTTGAGCTTCCGAATTCACGAGCTGTGGAGGTGTTGCAAGTGCAAATTGGTCAAAGTGATAAGAACATCAGACAGACAGCAGCACCGCTTTGCTGCGATAGGGTATCAGTGGAAGATGGATTGTGGCATAGCAAATTTCCGCAAGAAAATCGGAACAAATATCATTACTGAACGACCTTACTCCTGAAGTTGACTTCGTTGCAGGAGCGAAAAATGTCAGAACGCCTCTCGGGACTGTTTGTTTACGTTGAGAATGATAGGACTAGCCTGAGCAACTGGACTATATATATGTCCTTGCACACTGATTCACGATTAAAATGATTTATTGATTTTCGAAGTGACTGCAATTTACCAGTGGAGCAAAATACATTCAATTGACTCCATGCAATCATATTTTATGCGTTAAATTAAGCTGCGATAGATTTAGTTTCATTTGCAGACAGTACATATATGTCAAACCATTTCGACATCTTGATAAGTGACAACCGCATTAGTGACTATTTTAGTGCCGGACATAATTTGATCAATTTGTTCTGCAAGTCGAAAATGTGGCAATATTGACGAATCCAGCAGTCTCCGAATATCCATGTGCTTCTAGATTTCCGACTACTAAACCCCAAGAAGCAGACTTCTCCATGCTTAAAAAATATGATCACGTTTTGTTTATAAACGTAAATACCCACCTTAAATACGTAATTCTGGGGAGACAAATTAAATCTCGTGCCATTAATCACAAAATAAATGTCAGGTAGGTCGTCGATTTGATCGCAAGGAACCATGTACTAAATAAAAGCAGTTAAATATATATCATGTGACAAAATTCAAATTATCCTACCAGTGAGTATGATAGATTGTATTTTAAATTTAGCGTCTGTCCAATGGTCTTTACTGCTGCATACGGACCAGCTATCAGCGAGCTACCGGTATCAGATATTGCCTCATACGGCAGATGATCTTCTCTCTCGATGAATTTGAATCTGTTGCCAACTGGTAATTCAAGTCTAATTCAAAGAAATTTAACAGTAATTTGAAGAGGGAAGGTCACAAAATTGCGTAATTTCACATACACTTCTAATATATTTCGTCTCACATTGTTAGTTCACTGTGAAGAAACGATTTAGATGAGCAACCGTTGAGAAAGTATGATTGAAAAGGTGTATCAGAATATCGTCTTCTACTCTGGCGTAATTTATTGAGCGGCAAGAATTTACGAATTATTTCGCAGTCTCTTATTGCTGAGTATGCGTGTGTTCTCTAAACAAAATACCACACTGTACAACTGTAGGATGTCTTACCTTCTTACCTGAGTTTTTTATTTATAGTCGCTGATTCAGATATGTAACTTCCAACCTCCCGCCCCCATCTTTTGTTAAGCCTCGGCATCCATTAGGGATGAAACTACCAATTTATACGTTCATCTCAAATATATAAACAAAGAAGGATAGAATTATTCATCAGAGAAATAGAGATACTTTCATCTCTAAGACGAGCTTGCAGACCAATACCAAGTTGTCGGTTACTTGACAGTAAGTTGACTTTCTTGACAAAAATACGAGAAAATCCTATGACAATGTTTTCAATACTACGGGTTTTAATTAAGCGCCAAGAGTGAATTGATGGATCGTGTTTTCATCACAACTTACGGATGCGAAGTCACCTTCCACTAACTCGAAGCTCGATCTGTCTTTCCAGTTTGGACGCTAATGTGACCAAGCACCAGCAATTTACCCTGCGATAGGATGGCCAATAGGTAGATTTGAACTGCTGGTAGCAAACTATCGCCAGGGGTGGCATCTTCTGTCAGCATCACGCTGCAGCGTTCAGTTTGAAATGGGCTGCCAGCTGACCAGAAACCGGATGAATGGCTGCTTGATGATGAGAGCCATTTCAATTTTGTGCTTCGGTCCGCTGGAATGAAGAAAGACATCGTCTTCCACGCATTGGAGACCGCCACCCGTGAGGAGGGCTTCGATATCTGGTAGGTTGATGTCGTTTCAGGTCACTATTGAGACAACAGCGGTCGCATAGCCCGGACTGCCGAAAGTCAAAACAGTCTAGGTGGCCAACTGAGTTTGCTGCTAGTGCTTTAACTCAATGTGGTTGTGTTAATACAGTAAATCAAAATATAGTCGCCTCTAATGGATCGTTAAACTACTACAGCAGAGCTTTTGCTTGTACTCATCCGGGATCCGTGACCATGACAGTAAAAAGATTGGTAGTGCTTTAGCCTTTATGCTGTAGGTTGTAAACATCATGATTTATTGGCTATTAATATATGCTATTTCTTCTCGGCGCAGGGAAGGGAGAGCGCAGTTATATTCACTGGAGACTTAGACACGCTATGCTGCTTACCCGCTTACCTTTCGTCGCGAACACATTCTACCATGTAGTCATCTGTACTCCGTTCAGCTAGATCACTAGCCATTTTTTGCATCGACTAGTTGTTTCTAGATTACTCGCGCCCGCCGGTGCTGCCAATAAGGTCTTAATTCCTTATTAAAAGAGTTGAGGAGCCATATTCGATCCTTGCGCCAGCAACTCGTCTCGCCCGTTCTTTAATTGGTGTCACCACGTTACTTGCACAGTTTCCCAAAATAGATATTGAGACTGGCCCTATTTTCTTGGAACGCTGGTCAACAGGAGAAGTTGTCAGATTGTTCGCGAAGGATACCCACCGACAATCGTCAAGATTCGACGAAGATGGGCTTGTCAGGAAAATTTGGCCACAAAATGGACAAAGCCGATGAGCCCCAGAAATAGCAGCCAACATCGAAATGTTAACTCTAAAGAAAATTTTCTAGCGAACGAACGGTCAGAACATCATAAAAAAACGGTTCTTCCGGATATCCAGGGGCTGCGAGAAGTCTCTTCCGGTTTTCCTGTTCGTCAGGTAAGGGTCTTTTGACATGTGGAATATGGGATCATGATAAGGACTGTATCGTACAGATTAATAACAGCCGGAAAACTTACGAGGTATTGCTTGTGCGTGATTAAAACCCATTTTGTGCTGCTATTCTGAGGCTTTTTCTAAATAATGGTTACACAGAAGATGCTTAGTATGCTAATATATTTTAAAATTCTTTTCACGTTCTTCCTTAATAAATTAATTGAAGAGGGCAAAGCTTTCATTGTCTATGTTTTGACCATATGTCTCTTCAGCTTCATCTTCCATCGCCGCTTCTCCTTTCGGGTCGCGGAGGCAGACGCGTCAGACAGTGCTTCCAACGTT